TCTTGTCTAACGTTAAGCTAATGCTAGATCAAAGCTGTTTTTCATGTAATTATTTATACACATACCTATATATTTATGTATATATTCCAAAGAGCTCAAATGCGAACTGTTTGACATATGAAGATAAGGGCAAGCACAAATAAGTCACTGCAAAAATAACTCTTTTAGAGCGACAGAATGTGACTAGCACAGGTGTGGTGCTAGCAGGGTGGCCCCGTCTGACACCAGCTCCACAGGCTTCATCATCAGAGACTCTCATGTTAATTACAGGCATACTGTCTAATTACTCTTCAGCTGGCAGGGGGACAGCTCCTGTCTTAAAATAGCAGCAGCTAATACTTTAATTGAAGAATAAAAAAAGCTAGGCAAAACAATGGAAAACGGACATAGCTGCGTTCGTTGACCACAGCTAATTGAAAGCACATTTGGACAACAGGCAAAGAAAAACAGGATACGGTTGAGCGCGTTGTTACAGCGGCCGACACTCTGCCCCTTCCTCTCTCTCCGACCATTTCAAGATAAACGAACGCTTAGCGGCCAGTGAGGAATGTTTTCTTCAAGGGAAGTCTGTAATTAGTGCTTGTTCCAATGGCCTTTGCCGGAATTCCAATCTGTTTTTCTAGCAAAATGAGTCAGGGGCTGAAAACGATGGCATAATGGTCGGGTGGAGGGGTCACTCAGTCATCGTTTTCATCATTGGGGCTGGCACTTTCCCCGCCTCGGCTCCATTAATCAAGCCATGACACGGCTTCCTGCTGAACACGTCGACATGGTTAGAGATCTGCTGTGAGAGAATATGAAAGGTCTGCACCAAAACATGGGCTCTTATTGTTTTGAACGCTCTGTCCTCCTGTCTGACTTCTTTCCGAGAACCAGACAAAGGCAAACATCCTCCTATGGTGCTTAAGGAGAAGGACCCTCGTGTCTCTTTGATTTCGCTCCTGATCAAACCATTTACATGAACAGCAGGACACAGAGAGGCAGTGTCTACATAAATGAACTGCTGCGTATTCAAAAGGCTGGCTCCATATATGCTAATAAGCAGATATGGACAGGAATGGTTATAAGGTTGTGATTAATAAAACAAAACATGACATTCACCACGAGAGACTTGCATCCTACTATTAGGAGTGAGGCACTTTCAAGTATTGACAGTCAACTTTTCCTCAGAATAAAAATGCATTATTCATGCTTGTGCTTTGATCAACGGCGTCTGTCGGAGCGAGTAAGTTGGACTTAAGATCTTGCACTGCTTTTGCACTCATGCTCAGGCCTTCGCTGCAGCGCAGTGCTTTGCTGCCTGCCAGAACCCATTCCTCATCACAATCTGTTCTTGAGGGATAGGAAATTGTCTTGCCTAGAGAATCCCTAAAGGGCCCACTGTTTTTAGGGTTGTAATATGTGTCTCTCAAAATGACAGCCCTTTCCCTCTGCGAATCTCAATGTGTTGTACAGATGCAGGTGTCTCCCCGGCCTCCGTCATGCTTTGGCAAAGCCTTCCGATTGGAACCAGGCTGACTCCACGACTGCAGCAAATGTGCAGAACCTTCCAGAAGGCTGTGTTTTGGGTGCACGGCATGTCAGAAAATCCGCAACCGATCGATAAGGAGTGCCTCACGGGGATGGGCCTTCAAAGGGAGCTCAAAAAAGGCGCACCTTCCTAAGCCCTCTCTGATCTTTCAGGCTATTCTACTGCTAGTGCGTGACTTGGCAAAGCTCCCCAAGACCTTTCTCCTTGCTTCTCCCATCGCTCATAAGGTAAAGCCTTCAATGGACAGCTGTCTGTTCGTCTCGACATGATAAAAATGCTCCATTCACTGGGCTGCTAGATGGATTACTCACCATACAAGCTCAAGCAAGATCCTCTAAACCTGGACTGAATTTCAGGCGCATTCTGGACCTTGTTTCTGAATGAAACGGCATTAAAATACATGAAGAACACTGTCTGAAACTCTCCAAATAAATAAAAAACACACGAGAGAGACCTGAGAATTGCCGTTTGGCTGTCATGAATAACACAGGCATCTGCTGCAAATTGCATTTGGGAGAATTAATAAAATAAATAATGAATTGCTGATATGAGTGAGGGGAAGTGGAGGACGGATGAGAGGGTGATTTGCACATGCTGAGAGGACCACGCCATTAGAGGGCGAGAGATTGTTGTTGTGTCTCACCGACAAGTTTAATGAAAGCGTAATGAAAAATTCCTCTTTTAATAATGCTTCTTATAATTAAACCACTCTACAAGTGCAGGTTGAGAGAGAGAGAGAGAGAAAGAAGAGAGAGAGGTTGAGAGAGAGAGAGAGAGGGAGAAGAGGACTTCTTTAAATTATAAATCACTCATCCTCGCTCATTCTCGGCAGGACTCCAGCTTTGTTCCCTTGGAAACAGATGTGCGGGGCTCAACTTTGACATCTGATTGGCCGAGAGGGAATAGCACGGGTATTACAGATCAGGGCTGAAACAGAATACGTCTGATTTGCCTGAAATTCTCCCTGCCCAAAATAAAGCACCCTCTCTAATCAATACTCTTCAGAGGATTCCAAACGGCTGCAAAACGCAGCCTCTCCTGCTCTGTGGGAGACAGTCCATTTAGAGTTTCATTAAAATCCGAAATGACTAAACAAGTTGGGTAAGCGGAGAGGGCTGCTTAATTACGCTACATAAAATATGAAGTGGCAAGTGTGAAACGACGTGGAACCGCTATGCTGAATGAAAGAAGCAGCGATTTTTCTCTATTTTTCTCCCACCGCCATCCATTACAGAAACTCATTTACAGCCAGTGCGGAGAGTAAACTGTTTGCTGTTTTAAGGTTCCTCCAGAGCTGGATACATTCCACCACACTGTGGCTATGGCTTTGGGGGTCTTGGTTTAAGCAAACACTCCAAAACGGCCACAGACGCATGCTGTACATGTACTGCTTTGAAGACCCTTCAGTTGGAATCTTGCGGTCTGTAAAACGAGGATTATCGATTGCCTTTCAGAGTACATCTCAGTAGAACAGTAGTGTACTCCATTCTATCAGGCTGAAGACCCAATCAATGCCATATTGAGAGGATCCAATAAACCACAAGCCTGCCGAGTCTTTCAAGACAAAGACAGTTTTAATAGGGAGAGAACTAGGAAGATGGACAGATGGAGAGTAGAGAGAGAGAAGAGAAGGAGAGCAGACAGATCACCTATTGTCTGGGCTCCACTTTGTCTCCTAGTGGCTTTTTCTTTCTCTTTCTGTCTGTGGCATGAAGAAATTCTCCCTCTCTACATGGAAACTTCTGCAGCCCTGCCACTACAGCCTCCTGAGACTTCTTCACCAGGACAAGTTTTTTGCCTCACAGGAAGTGCTAGAGAGCATATGCGTGCCTCTTCTCCAGCCAAACACAGCCCAAAACACCATGGTTCCTCTTTCCTGCTGGGCAAAGGGCCCTGCCTATTGATTCAATTAGTCTGTAAGCTAGAACATAGGGCCTCCAGGACAATATTTTGATAGCAATAAAGAAAAGTTCCTTTATGGACCTCCCCGAGCAAATATTTTGGCTGTGGGTCGGCTCTGTTATTAGCCCCCCGAGGAGCCTGTTTGGCCCACAACTTTCCAGACAAGTGAAGATTGTAAAATAAATAAGTGTAGGTCTGAGTTTTGATGGTGCCCGTGGGCTCTTGGTTAGAGAAAGAACCCAAACATGCAGAGAAAAGCCTTCGGAGGTACTGCATAGTCTGTTGGGAGCACTGTCATGTCACCACAGTGACTGCTGCCAAGAAATTTTCTCCGGAGTGCTGTAGCCAACTTTGCAAGAAGTTTGTTATGGATTGGGCAACACCTTCCAGAACATCTTGTTGTTGGTAGTCGGAATGAGACACCAAACCAAAGCAGGTTAGAGATGGTGTCTCTCAAACCTATTATCACAGCTCACTGCTGAGGTTAGAGGAGTGCTTTGCCTGGGGACTGTCTTGTAGCCTATGATGATTCATTGTAATTTGGGGTTTGCCGAACAAACCACTGGTTGTCTGCGAAAGGGCAGATTTTTCAGAGATTCTTCACTTCAAGAAGGAACTCAGCTATGCCAAAAGGAACACTGCATGAACCAATTTATCTTGGACAGCAATCAGATATTCCTACGTACAGTATTGTGCAAAAGTCAGAATCATTTGTTTCATTTCCAGTAAAAATGGACATTAAGTACAAGTAATTGATTTTTCAGGAGGTATTTCTGAGGAGGTCAGATATAAGAAAGAAAAATAAGTGAAAAACAAGAAGTTGTAAAACAGGATTTCAAAACATTATATATGAAAATGCAAAACTCTCAAGAACCATGTGAGACCTGGTAGACCACCAAAACTGTCAACCCTTGCTCAATCCTTGAGAGACAGAAAAAAATCAAGTTTCACACCAGCTTCTATAAAAAAACCCCACAGATGTTTCTGTCCATTTTTCCACTGTAAGAAGACAGCTCAAAGCTATTGGTCTGAAAGGATGTGTTGCTGCCAAGAAGCCCTTAGTGACAGAAGAAAATAGACAAAAAAGAAGATAATTTGCAAATTAGACGAAGGAGCTGCTGATGTTCTTCGAATAATTAACTGGGTCCAGACCTTAACATCACCGAATGTGTTTGGGATTGTGAGAAGCAAAAAATGCAACCAACTTCTAAGACTGAACTTTGGATGTGTGGAAACTTATCCCTGCAGATTTCTTTGAAAAACTCAAAGCAAGTCTCCTGAAAAGAACGGAAGCTATAATAAAGAAAAAAGGTGGATATATTTAATACTGAAAAATGTGATATTATACTTGTTGAGGTTTCTGTGTAATGTTCTATTAAATATATGTTTTCAGTTTTTTTCCTGAATGAATAACTTGTACTTAATGGCCGTTTTGACCGGAAATTAAGTGCAGAAGTTTCAAACTCATACAAAGAACTTCGGGGACGTCCTTTTGGTTTTACTAATTAATGGCAGGATGTTATCTGTCTGAGCAAGTGTGAGTGTGAGAGCGTGTATCCTACCATACCTGAATCCACTCCTTGGTGGAGTCCTCCAGTGGGGTCCAGCCATTTTCATTGTTGTTGAGTCTAGAACGTTCTGGAGACCAGTTGGCATTGTACTGCGATGAGGCCACAATTTGGTCTGAGGGGATCTCACCAGACTCTATACCCAATGGCTCCATGCAGTCAAAGTCTGAAGGAGAAGAACCAGGAACAGAAAGAGAACGAGAGAAAGACAGAGAGAGAGAGAAGTAGGTTAGAGAGAGTGTCCAAAGAAAGCACACATCACCTCCCACCTTAAACCACAGGCTTCCTCTGGGGAATGGGTCACTCAAGCATGCAGCACTCTCCACCTCTCGGGTGACCAGAATAACATATAAGCTCTATCCTTCTCTCTCTCTCTCCCCTTTTTTCCCCTTACAGGAAAATCTGTATTTAATGGAAGCACTTTGGGAGTGTACTACATTAAGACATAAAACTTTATGCATGAAACATTCAGTTTAGGCTCTTAACAAAAGCAGGGAGAGGAGTTATGGAGAACAAGCAGGAAGTCTGCACCTTGTTGGAAAAGTTCCTCTGTAGGCACTTTATGTTTCTGGCAAAAGTTAGGCCTTTTACATCAGTGCTAGTGCTGCAGGAATGGAAAGGCTGTATATCACTCTAAACGTCCCGCCACCCAGACAGGGGGCATCTCAGCCTGTTTCTGTGATTGTGGGCTGATCAACCAGAGGCATGCCGGCCCGGTGGCTGGGGACAGAGAGGTCGGCTTGGGTTCAAGCCCTGACTGCCCTGGGGGCACTGTACAGACGCCCACAGACGGATTTAGGGCCTCTAAGGGGGGAGATGACCCAAAAGATGAGCTAATTTACTGACCTGAGGTCGACAAACATAAACACATGCGCACGCACAAACACACTACATAAGTGAGATCACACTCATTATCATTGGAACTGACTGCGCAAACCAAAAGCCCAGGCATGTGCAAAAACTCACACATGCAGGCTTGTTTTTATGCATTATCTGGACACAAGGTCTTACCCATGTCCCAAACGTATTATGTAAGTATCTATATGTAATATGATGCATGTGCACTATATGTATCTAGAAGAACCTATATGTAATAATAATATGCTCAATATGCATTATATATACAGTATGGTGCAAAAGTCAGAGACCACCCTTCATTCATTCAATTTCCAGCCAAAATAACAATTGAATAACATTAATTTAGGAGATATTTCTAAGGACATTGCATTATGAAGGGAAAAGTAAAAGGAAAATACATGGAAAACAGGAGTTTAACAACCTAACAGACTCCAATGGGACTCCTAACAGACTTTATCATCAATGAATGTGATTGGATTATTTAGATTGTGAGAAGCAGAAAATACAAAAACTGAACTTGATTGAAAAAAGTGAAGCTGTAATAAGTCAAAATGACAAAGAAAAAAACATAAAAATAAGGAAGGGTGGTCTCTGACTTTTGCACACTGCATACAGTATATACAAGTATATATAAGAATATAAATAGATATTATATGAGTAATTATGTAAATATAATAACAATGTCCAATCCTAAACCTAACCCTGCCACACACAGTGTGAGTAGAAAGTAATGTAGAGTGTGTGAGTGTACACTGCAGCTGAATGCCTGTCGCAAACACACACACACACACACACACACACACACACACACACACACGCACGCAAACACACACACGCAAAGACACACACACACACACTCTTCATGGCCCAGAGAAGCTGGTCTGGGCACTTGTAACAGATGGAGAGAGCATCTGTGTTAGCTGATAGACAGCAGTTTGAGCAGCTCACAGTGACTGTTCACACACTGCATCTCTGCATCTTCACATGCGTGCACACACACACACACACACACACACACACACACATTGCAAACTCTCGCTCTCTCTTATAATATCTCTCATGTTCCTGAAAAGACCTCAGTACCTAAACAACATTCACTTTAAACCATCTCTGAGTGTCTCTGCCTTTCTCTCGGGCACGTCCTCTATCGCTCTACTACTTGATTCTACTCTCTTAAACCCGTCTCTTAAAATAATCAGTAGATGTCAGCAGATAAAGCAGTTTCGTTTTTGTGCCTCTCTAGCTTGGGGGATGAATATTTAACATTCGGCCATCTCCTCAGTTGTGTATCAGTGCCTCCTCCACAGCACCCTGCCCAGGCACAGAGGAGAAGAGGAGGCCCATGGAATGTAAATTTATGGAGGCGATAAATAATTGATAACCTACGTCTGCCCCTCACGGCTCCAGCCGAGAAGAAACAGAAACTGTTCTTCAGCAAGAGCTCCAGCAGAACAGAGTGGAGAAAGGCAGTAAATACGTGATTTCATAAGAGAGTAACTGGGGATGTGTATATAAATAAACACAGTAACAATGATCAAATTTTCTTTGTCATTTTTTTTAAGAGGTGCATCATTCATTTCAATTCATTCCATTCAAGGTAACATTTAAAGAGGATTTACTGTTTCTTTTGCTGCATTGCATCACTTAGCCTCATAGATATGAAAGAACACTGTTCTCTTACTACAGTACCCAGCATGCATTACACAAATATGTCATATAAACATTGGGAGTATCCCCCACAGCTCAGCAATGAAGAAATGTATTGATGTTGAGGTTGATAAATACAGACATGATATTGGGCTTACTAGCTATGTGATTTCCTTCTGCATAAGAAAGCTAGCAGAAAAAAAAAACAAAAGAAAAAGAAATTGACAAGCCTGCCCTATTATATCTGCCCCAAAGCGCTTGTAGCTTTTCAAATGCTCCTCCCACCTTCAAGATACATCATCAGAAGAGGTTTTTCCTAATCTTTAAACTAGAAAATCTCACTCTTGAGACTATTCTGGCTCCAGTGGCTACATTTTTCATTTCGCCCAGAGTGCCTCTTTAACAAGTCCATCTATCAGCACTGTTATAAGAAAACACTGTCACTCTATTTTTACACCTTCTGAAAATATTTTTACATTGTGTGAACATTTCACAAAAGGAGCAATAGATCCAAAGAAAGGTCCAAGGATAGAAACGTGTAAATTACATGAACAGACGTTACATTAAGAAAGTCTTTTCCTTCTATGATAAAGTAACTTCAGTATGTGACAGAAATGTGAGTAACAGTGACGCTATGAGACACTGAGTGTGATGGTATCAGCTAGAGGACGATGTGTTTAACTATCAACCAGGCAACTAGGCTCAGCCCAATATTCCCCAAAGACCATGTTTACCCAAGTAGGAGACGTGAGAGAGAGAGGGACACGTGGGGGGGTTAGATGGGGGGGCTAGGCTGATTTATGAGGTTGCAGTGTTGGTGGTACGTATGTGTTGGTGGTATGTTCACAAATGAAATGAATTTTTTAGTGAGAACATTTCTCAAATTGGGGTGAAGAGGTGAAGCCCCTTGGTGACTGTGTTAAAAAAGTGGCAGGGAGCTGTCTGGTTATATGTGTGCCTTCGTGTGTGTGTGTGTGTATAAGCGGGCTTTCATAAAGCGGAGGAGATGGGCCATGACTCCTAACACATTCACTTAATGAAAAAACACCTCGGCTGAGCAGGACATGGTGATTTAATAACTTCCCACGATGCGTCATGTTATCTGTGTGCGGGGCGTGTATGTGTGTATATGTGTGTGCAAAACAGACTCTTTTTTTATTCCTATTTTCAGTCTTTGTTTAGCCATCTCTATTTGATATAAAGTCATATAAAATACAAACACACTAATCAATATTAATCAATAATCAATAGTATACATCACTATAACATTGCTAAAATACTGGAATATCATCAGTGTTTGATCACAATCTTGAATAGGATTTTGTTCAGACAGTGATGTGCTGTGTGGTTCCTCACCTTCAGGAACAGTCCGCTCCACTACAGTGAAGTTAGCAGAGAAACCTTCCTTAGCGATAGCGCTGTCTGTGTTGATTGTCAAGGCCAAGATACCGGTGTAGGAGATGACTCTGCCTGGAGTGTTCTGCCCACAGTACCGGCCTATGTATGGACCCACTAGAGAGAGAGAGAGAGGGAGAGAGATTTTTGTCAAACCTTGTTTTATTCACCAGGTATGTGTGTGTGGGTATAGACATCTATTCCAGTAAAATACTCCCAATCTAAAACAGTGGAATATTTCAGATTAATGCTTATGAACGGGTTAAATTATAGCACCAGAAAGGCACCACAGAATAATGCCCTTTAATGGAATTTGTGCTGCTAAGGCCAGACTTTGCACAGCTGAAGGACATACTTGCACAGTGGTCACTGACATTGGTTGACCTCCTGAGGAGACACGGGAAATCTACTGCAAACTTTCCACACCCCATTGTCACCATAATATAAAAGCAAAGCCAGAAAAGTGCTGTTAAGCAGAAGGCAAAGGCCTTGGTCCGTCTCTGGCTCTTTACTGTCATAAATTCCTGGGCTCTTTGTTAAAGTCTCGGCTGGTTTGGTCCAGAGGCAATTGCCGGTCACAGCCCAATAACTTCCCAAAAGTCTCTCCAAAAGAAAAGAGAGGAAAAAAGGCATAAGACAAACAGACAAGGAACAAAAAAGAAGGGAATGGAATGAAAGGACAGCAGTAAACGCAGGGCCCGGCACACGTTCCATTGAGCAGACTCAATGAGTGTGGTTTTTATTCGAGAATAGGAGGGAGGGGGTGAGGGAAAGGTAGTTAAAATGAGAGGCTCAAAAAAGAACAGCATAATTAAGAAAAAGGTTGTCTGCTCACACTCTAGCTCTCTTTCTTGTTTTTTTTTTTCTGCTCACTCTCTCTCTCTTGTGTCTAATCTGTTTAGCAGTTCTATGATCTAGAGACAGGGACAGAATCTAGCCTGGCTGAGTACACACTACACTCACACACCCAAACATAAAAGAGACCTGTTCGTTGTGTGTGGATTCTCAAACTGACCAGACTGATCTTATCAGGTCTTTGTTAGAAATAGAACCATGCATTCCAGGTGTGAGTCTGTATGTGTGGTTAGTTTTATGCTGCCTAGGATTAAACTGCCCACTGCAGTCTACAGACAGAATTATGCTGCATGACTCAATGTTGGCTATGAAATTTTTAATACCCTCTCTGTGAACTCAGTGTCCTGCACGTTGGCTCCCCAAGAGCAGAGGGAGGGCAGGTACATCATGCTCTCTGCCTGAGATGCATCCATCTGCGGACCAGTTTTAGACTCGCATTTTTGGAGTATGATGTAGATTCAGATCTGTGTCCACTAACATCTTTGCATAAAGCTTTTCGTGCTAGTAGAACACTCAAGCAGATAGCTGCTCATATTAGTTTAGATGCTTGATTAACCTGTACTTAAGGCAGTTCGACAGTCTAATTTAAGCACTGATTTGTATTACTTTGTATTTAAGATCGTATTTAATGTTAATGTTTGTTGTTAACATTCACAAGCCAAGTTTGTATTAATTAATAAATAAGTTAGCTACCTTGGCTTAGCTAACTAGCTAATAACTTTAGCTACAAACAAGTAGCTCACATAAACCTAAACCTAACTGGTAAAGGGTGCAAACCAAAAACCACGGTTTGCCTTGAAACTGCTGCTCTAGATCTGCTGCTGGTTCGCTGGTTTTGCAAAACTCTATTTGACACATTTGAGCCATTTTAACTTCATTTCAGGTTCTATTCATTTCCATGTATAAGGTTAGTATGTTCTACCAAAAAGGTAGACAAAATAACTCTAAACTGAACCACTAGGACCTCAAACCTAAAACCATGGCATGCCCTGATCCAGGTGCCGGCTCTCCAGCTTTGTAAATCAGCTTGAAGAGTGGGCAGTAGAGTCGGGGATGACCCCTCCTTCTCCCCCTGGAGCTTCATGGGAGCCGTGTCTCCCGCCTCCCAGCCTTTCCACGCTAATGCACTATTGATCGGTGTGGCTCCACAGGTAATGCAGCTCGCGTCTGAGTCGGGGAAACAAGTAGCGGCGTAACTCCAGAGCCTCCAGCCTTGCCTTTAAAACCCTGTTTTCCACCTCCTCATCCCCCCATTTCTATCTGGCAGAACACACATGGGACACCCGCTTGACCTCCTAGGGTAATATGTCTATTTTGTGTCCTTTAACAAATGACTCTCACATCTCTGATAAAAACTCTTGGTGTTTCTTCTGACTGCCATTTTCTTCCATTATAACTTGAGTGCTCAGTACAGTTTACTATGAAGTCCTCCTTTATGCAGACAAGAAAGAGAAACAGAATTCAGAAGAATGCCATTTTCCCTCTCTCTCATGAACAAATGCTAGAATTTTTTGAGATAGACAGCTAACTCTATCACAGATTTCTATCACAGGTCCCACCTTTCTCTGTTCTTTTCCACCTCTGAAAATAAAAAGGTGATAATAAAGTGCAATCTAGAGAAAGCCTTCAGGTGTTTGCAGTCTTCATTCCTGATTTGGATGCCAGTCTGCTTTTTCAAGCCTTGTAGGAGTTTTCACAGATAAGTGGAACAAGAGATGGATGCAGCCTCTGTATCTGTGACTCTCTCAGGGAATAAAAACTATTATCAGCAACGATGCAAATTTTACAGTGGAGAAAGAACGGATGGGAGTCTTTAACCCTTTACATTCCCAGGCTTATTACATCCTAATGCGCTGCATGGGAAACAACGTCAAATGGCTGTTAGTCTAAAGTTAAAGGAGTGAGGAATATATGTCCTTGGCAAGGGGTCGAAAAGCAGCCCTTTAATGTAAATCGTTACATGATGCCTTCGCTCTCTAGCTAATATATGCTTTCAACCAGACACTAGCTCCTTTTCTGGTTCCATTAGAGAAGAAGAAAATGGCCTGTATTTATCAGTCTTAGAGGAAGACGACTCGTCCAAGATGTCCAATTAAAAGTATACACTGGGGGAAACACTGATCCTAGAACACTATTCTTATTCTGAGAAGTTAAATATAGGCCAGTGTACAAGTATTCTGTGTGTGCAAGTACTGTTTGTGCGTCAGACAGAGTCCAGATAAGGCCCCCGCTATCTGTACTCTGGTTTGTAGGGGGGTTTGTTTTGCTTTGCCTTGCACAGTGCTGTTTTAGGGCCAGAATTTCCTTCTATTCTCCCCAGAGATCAATCGCACTGCATTGTTAGAGAGTGATAGCATCTACTCACTCTGATAACTGTGCATATTCACAAGGACAAGGTCACCCCAATGACCTCTTGCCTTATATAGAGGGGAGAGAGAGAGAGAGAGAGAGAGAGAGAATGAAGGGGCCAGTACAATATTGCTATTGTGTTTGTATGGACCAGCCCAAAGAACGTGAAACTAGAGTACAGGGAGAGACTGTGCTATGGCAGTGGCGGCAACTGAGTCAAATGGCCGGCATGAGTGGTGGGGAGTGGGGAGTTTGACTATCTGCATTCCCATTACTCATACGCTTTTTCCGGTATGTGTTCACATAAGCATTCATATGTTTACCCATAAACTCTGCAGTGCTGTGTGTAAAATTTTTGAAGTGCTGGTGCTAAGAAAGGTGCAAGGTTGCAAACACAAATTAAAATACTGTAGTGCTGAAATAAAACTACATTATCATTATATATAAGTATTAATCTTAAGTGACAATTTGTTATTTTATCTTATAAAATACAGATGCAGCATGTAAAAGATTTGAATGTTGATGTTCATTTCGTGAAATATACAGAATTTACAATAATTCAGATTCCCCACAAGGGGCACTATTAGCACTCAAGTAGAGGTTTAATGCACGGCTAAATGAGACAAAACCCATGTATGAATCCACACCAGCAGGGTTTGGAAGTGGGTATGGTTACCATTTCAAAACGGGAAGCAAAATAGTTTATTAATAAAAAGGTAAGGCTTAATGTTGTTTAATATTTACTTAATCAGCTAATGCTAAAAGGATACAGGCTAAAAAAGCAAAGGCAATAAGCAAAGCAGTGGGTTTTTCTGCAGGCAAATGTTAAAATGATAAAATTGTTGCAGGCTGTATACATGACAGTACAGACTCAAACTGAAAAAACTCAGATTGTATATCATGAAACCCTTCGTTAACAGACATTTGGAGTCCTCCTCTAGTGTTTGAAGTACCTAATGGACTATAATTACCATAAACAATGAGGAGACAGCTTGAACAGTGGGGAAGTGTTTGATACGGCACACATTAGTGAGAATAGTTAACAAATTACATAATTGACTACAGTTACCATGAGCACCAGGACTTGACAAAATGTTTCAACCACAGCACCGCTCTATGTTAATAATTCAGTTGTTAATCTCTAAGCTTTATTATTCAGTAATTACCATATATTATCCAGTGACTACTATGAAGCTACTATTTAATATATGTAGTAACACTAGTGAGGAACTGAAGTCTGAACCCTGGACCTGACGACAGGTCCTTTAGTTTTTAAGGAGCATCTCTGTTCCATAACTATCTTTCCACCAATGCTGGACCACACCCACAAGCTACAGGGTGTCATCATGGTGACATACCTCCAGGGAAACCGTCCCAGATCTCCAGGCGGTCGTAACGGCAGAAGACCCCTGCGGGAGGCTGTGTATCAGGCTCCAGCTCAAAGCTCTCGAACTCCAGGATGATCTCCGACATCTTGGGGGCGAAGATCATAAAGGTGCAGTCCAGGTTGTTGGGGTATTTCTCAGGGAAACCCGGAGACTTGATGATTCCACTTTTAGAGGTGAAGTTTCTTGAGCATTCTGGGCCTGAGAGAGAGAGAAAGATGAAAGTGAATGAATGAATGTTGGTCTCGGTCATTGTACAGTGAAATTCGGTTAGCAACTCTCTAGATTTGATGCTATAAGTAAAGAATAATTACAACATATATACATTTGTCATCTTTGTCATATATATATATATATATATATATATAAATCTTTTTATCTCCAAAACTGCAAATGTTCTTAACTTTAATGTAATGAGATTTTATTCCAAGCTAAGTTTGGACCATTCCTATTGGTCCACTCATGATGAAATGCTCAAAACATGTAAAAGAGCAGCAATTTTCAAAGATTAAAATGATAAATAATACAGCAGCACTCAAGACAATAGCACAGTGTCTACAATAGCAACACTAACAGTAAAAACAATGCTCAGTGGCAGCAACCAACCAGATACTGGTGTGCATCAAGACTGCTATCCTTAACAGAAAGAAAGAGCAAGGACTTGTTTTAGTGTTGTTCTGTTCTCTGAAAACAAAAAGAATGCAGGGGTGGGCAAACAGCAGAGGAAAGACGTGGTGGTCCATATTGTTTAGCTCCATGACTGCAGTGTTTACGGTGCGTGGAGGAGGAAGCCCACCCTGAAGCCCTCTGGCCGGGCCGAACGAGGGTGTGTGGGCTAATGGGGGTGGAGCATGAGTGGAAAACTTAGTTTATATATTAGAGATTGTATTTCTAAATCCTAAAAGGAAAAATTAGAGAGAAAACAATCACAGTAAAGTGATTACTTTTTGAGGCTGGGAAATGGGCAGTGACTCATTATAAACTTTCATTCTCTTTCTCTACCGTATCGCGTGGGCTCAGTATGTGTGTGTGTGTGTGTGTGTATATATGTGTGTACACAGAGCGAACAGTGAAAGGCTTCAATCAGCAGCAGAGGACTGTGGGAGCTCTAAAGTAAACATGGCAGTCAGATCGCGTTCCAAAGCAGTGCCCCCCTCTACATCATTACAAGCCTGTCTAACATATGAGAGAAGAAAATTAAAGCCTTCTACACACTCACACTCACGCACACTTACACACACTTTTATAACAGCAAGTCATAACATTTACTCAAACACCTCTAGAGAGCTAGCTTTCCTCCAGAGCGGCGTGTCACTTTAGTTCACACATACAACACATCAGCATGTTAGGTTTACATCATAACCACCAGATTAACACGGTATACAGTAACAAGGCACAGGATTCATGACATGAGTGCAGAAATACGCTCTCATCATGCTGTAATGCGATGACTACATCACCACTTAACACTACACTACTAACAGGGCATAACTGCCAGGCCTAATAGCACCAAACGTGTGCTTCTTATTAGCAAGTTTCAAGACTGCAAAGACTGAAATGATGGAAAGAGAATGGAGTGAAAAATAGAATGTTTGTCCCATATATATAAACATATATTTAGCAGTAAATTAAACAACAACTAAATATAATCTCAAATTTCTCAGGAGTGATAAATTTGCCTTTTTGATCTTCTTGAATTTGATCTTCTGAGCAGTGCACTTAGGGTCATTATGTTGTTGTAGAAGTCATTTCTATTAATTTCTTCCCACTTACATATTTTCCAGGTACTTATGTAAGTACCTACATGTGAAAAGAGTTTTCAAAGCTTCCAGTTTTATCTAGTTTTTCTACAAAGTCCAGACATTTTATCCTATCAGAGACAGATAGAGAGAGAGAGAAAAGGGGTGAGAGTGAGAGTGAGAGAGAGAGAGAGAGAGAGAAAAGGAGAGAGAGTGTTAGTGAAAGTGAAAGCAATGTGTTGTTTGAGAGTGGTTTAAGTGGATATGGCAAAGTGTTTCCTCTCGATGTGTGTCATTTAGATCTCTCTGGGCCTTTAGCTCAGGACCATCAGAAGCACTTCAGCTTGTCCCACACATGCACCATAACGCCAGATGACTGCCTTTTTTCTCCGCTCCTTTAGCTGCTTTTTGCCTCTGATGAAGCAAATGGCTGGTGTTTGGAGTTTGAGTCTAAAGTGAGTTGACATTTAGTACCTTGCTAAAAGTTGAGTTTGAAACAACAGCAGATTGCTCCCTCTGTGTGCTCTTCAGTATGTGGACTTGTTTGCTTCTTTTGTTTACCTCTTGCCTTTTGTTCTTTTTTGATCGTGTTAGAAAAAATAAAATGAGGACACAGTTTCTGCTCTTACGAAGGATTGAAAGCTATTTGTCTGCTAACAGTGCCCCCTTGTGGAGAATTTTCAGCCTGCTAAATGTGAATGACTGAATGAGTTACAAGCCAGTTGTAACTTCAAGTGCTTTGCATGTAAAAACCTCCCAAAATCAATTAGGACTGTCACTTTCAATTCTGTTAATAATCGAGTCTCCTGGATTGTATCATGGCTATCTGTCAAGGTGATCAGCCTAGTTCTAGTTGTTAAGAATATAGTTTTAAATAATATCAGGTTCTTATGTAGTGTATGTTTAATACCATTTTGGGCAAATTACTTATATAATGAAAATTTTATTGCCATTAGGATTATGATTCTGGTTTAATGTGATACTATATTGCTTGCATATACATAGATGTGACATACTGATTGATAATCGTAGCAGCCCTAATATCAAACTCAGTTAAGTATCCTTATCTTTGTAGACCTTCTATTGTCTATTGTAAGTTTATTGCAAGTAGTTTAAACCTCACAGTTGAACCAAATGTGACAATTTCACTGAACACTGCTGTGCAAAGCTTTCTGTTTCTTCTCAGTCTCTTGTCTGGCACTTTAAGTGAACTCACACGCGTGGACGGGATTTACACTTGTGACCTAAATGTGTATAGTTAGAATTCCCCTCTGACCTCTCTCTAGACAATCAGACCCCAGCAGTGTCACAAAGAAAGCTGTTAAGATAAGAGCACTACACTAATATGTCTTTCTTCTGCACCAAATCAATCTTTGCCTTGCCCTTTTACTCTCAATCTCTCTCTCTCTCTCTTTCTCTCTCTCTGCCTGTTTGCCTCTTATTCTCTCTCTCTCTCCCTCTCTGGGAAGTAATTGCATGTTATCACACCGTCCTCCCACCCTCCATTTCGTCCAGACGCTGAAAGGGGACACGCCGGGGTCAGGGCCACAGACACTCCAGCCCTTTATGTCTGTAGGCCTGTGCTGTAAAAAGGATGACTAGCACACATACACGAGATTAAGATATGAAATCTGACAGAGAATTTGGCCTTTTGCTCCACTGCTGAGGGTATCTGTGCAGAGATCAGTTCTGCAGCCGGAGCTTCACTGGTCAGTACTTAATCCCAGTGCTAGGCCTGGATTTATAATGCTCCATTGCTGTTTACACATTGTGGCTAAGGAGTACTGTTTCCGCACTGTGCTTGTTTGTTTTTGCACATTCAGGACAAAAAATGGTCTGACTTTGTAGGAAAACCAGAGAAAAACAGGACCAACCTACAACAACATCAACAAAAAGCTCCTGACTTTGTAAAGTGCTTTTTATAACCACAAAGCCACTTGTTGGTTAGGTTCAGGATTCTTATTTCATATAAAAGTTATACATCATTTTCGAAGTGGTAGCTTTACAGGAGCAGGCAAAAATGTTCTTTATTTTGACTTTACCTAGTTAACATAAAGTGATTTTATTCCAAGCTATTTTTTCCAGTCCATTTTATAATGAGATTTTCACACAATGTATAGGGCAGTCTGTATAATATATATATATATATATATATATATTATATATATATATATATATATATATATATATATATTTATATATATTTATATATTTACATTTATGTATCTCCATGTCCTGACGTTGCCAAAAAACAAACCTGAGTGTGTATGGTGACATGCCATTGCTAACCACAAATTCTTAGTTTTGTTATCTCTTGGTTTCCTGTTGCAGTTGTTTGTGAGCAGTCAGGACAAACTTTACAAGTGTTTTGGTGGGCTGGTGGGTTGGGATGGCGGGAGAGATGAGAAAAGCTAGGACACTCAGAGCCCATAAACCCGTGTGAAACAAATAAAGCACTGTGAGACTAGCCCAGCCATGCATGTCCCATCACCGCCCCCCTGACTATCTCTTTCCCTCTCTTGTTGACACCAACACACTTTCCAACAACTCTCTCTCATCCTTTCACCTTCTTAAAAGAGACAGAAAAAACAGCCATGGACTGGATTTACACAAACACTCAAATTTATGGGAGGATGTAAAAACTAAAGCGAGTTATGAAAAAACTGAGCCCTGCACTGATTCATGGCAGCTAAGTGCTAATTCTGACATTCACAGCTAACACTTGCAAGTTTTATTTTACTGATTTGTCCTCACACAAGCACACTGGAGTTATCTCTGCTGGGTGGTGGACGGCTGAAGCCTCCAACCTCAATGGAATTTGCTTAGTTTATTTTACAGGCCAGAAGCAGGGCTTGTTAAAGAGTTAGTCTGCAGACTCTGTGTAGCGAAACAAAACCCCTCAAGTGTCTCAGATATATTTCCCGCAATCCAAACCTTAAATAAATAAGGCTTCCACAGAGCGGCTGCTTTTGGTTAACTCTGATGGTTCCTCTGAGAAAGTTAGTTTTGTGAGGGCTGTAAAGTAGGCAGATGTGAGTGCAGGAGGTGTAGTGAGTGTATTAATTGGGACTAATAGAGATGGCGACAGGGACAGGGACGGCTATGGTGGCTAGAGAAAAGAACTTGAGCTGTTCTGTAAAAGTGCAGCTTCCTGCTGCTGTGGCCAACTGTTGTACTATGGCAAAACATCAGTTTGAAATATTCGCAAAAAACATTCAGGTTGTGTGTTGAATTATAATTTTATTAACGTTAGATAACAACACTATTCCTTTAATGGAGTCCAGTGTCTGTGACAATTAGAGCTAAGCATTTTGTTCAGGACATCAATGTCAAAACTTGGTCAAAAAACCTCCATAGTGCTGATTTCTTTTTTGGACGCTTATGGGATTCTAGTGCTATGTTAGCTCTAAGCTAACAGAAATTCATATGAACACTTTTTGTCCATTCTGGATTAAACATGGA